AAAAAAMCTTAGAAAACCGTGAGGGACAACGTGCAGGTCTGAGATAACCGATTCTTTGGTCATTCTTACCAAATTAATTACCTTTATCGATTCAACCCGAAATCGCCCACAATAAGCAGGAACTGAAGCAAAGATCTTGTTCTGTTAATAGGTCAACGCGGAGCATGATAAGGTTATTAGCGCCAGCGGAAGAAAAAGCCCCTCACCAATTAGGATATCAGGCGAGCTGTATCTTACTCTAGAGTACTGCATGGAAACCAAGGCGTTTATTGTACATGTTCACACTGCAAACAATATTGCTGTGGTTGATCATAAGAAACAAAGCTCAAACCCGTAAGTGTATTTCACCTGTAGTTTGCTTTTTTTGTGTGTGTTCGTTTGTCAGTTGTTGTTGTTGTTGTTGTTGTTTGTTTGTTTGTTTGTTGTTATGTTTTTTTCCTTGCTTTTTCTTTTTTTGGACAGAATTTAGTGCTTGTAGACCTTGCTTGTGCATTTATGGACGGTTTTCTTTAGTAATAATATGCAATCAGCCATTAAACCTAGTAAATTTTTCCTAGCTATTCACGAGCTGTATATGATATAATGTATATAAGCTATAATGATCTCTTAGCTCTTCTTGCCACCATCAATATTGATACCGTTATAAATGCCATGATGCTCTTTGCCAAAATATAAGCATGACATCAATAAAGAGCCGATTTAATGAAACATTGTGATACCGCAATAATTGAAACAAGCATCTATATATTTTGTACTGACCACCAAAAGTCGTAGACTATAATCGTTTACCAAAATTGCRCCCACTCTTTCACCCCRCAACCTCAACAATCTCAATTCTTTTTTTAAGTTATGTTAAGACGTACCTTCTTCCTGACAAGAAAAGCAAACGGAAAACAAAAACAGTTCGAGATAACCTCAATCCACAGTTTGATGAAGTTATCAAGGTAAGTGAAATGAGTCCCAAGCAAAGAATATATTGATTGAATAATGCAAAAGATCAGTATGACCCGGTGTAAACCTATAATCGCTTTCTTTCTTCTCGAATGTTCTCTTGCTRACTCCSAACATAAATCAAAGGGTTTAGCCATTATAGCRAAAGCCCTACCCTGACAGCAGATGAATTTTTCCGCCCTTTTCTTCGGATAGTGAAAAAATTCCTCTGCTCTCGCAGGGGATACGAAAGCCCTGAAACTWCRGGACTTCTCCTAAATTTTCTAAGAACTTGTTCCTCGCTCGTTTTATTGGGCATAAAAATCCCGTTCACCACACTTTTTATAAAATATATACTAATTAAAATCGCACTTTCGTGACTACAAATCAACCTGTAAAACCCAGATCAACAGGAGTAATGCAGTACCAATTGAAACCTGCTTTTTGATTGCTCCTTAAGTACAGCACCACTATTGTTAGGTTAGGTTTTGTTATATTGTTGRAAGACTTATCTATTGTTTGTCCATTGTTTTCTCAACCTATCATGAGACCCGTTTCGAGCGGTGCTACCTGGCTCGATCAACAGACGTGTTAGAACAAGGCTTAAGATGAATCTATTTAAGCTGATCAAATCTTATTTCTTTTTTTTTTATTCAGTACCCTATGAGCTACGACGAACTCTTAACAAGGACGTTATCCTTAACAGTGTGGCATGATGATCTATTTGGTCGTAAGGATTTTTTAGGCGAGGTTGTGATTCCAATTGGACAGTTTGTTGATCAAGGAAACTCTTTAGAAAACTCCATCGCAAAATGGTACACATTAGAAGAGAAGGTAAATATAATTGAGGATTTCTTACAAGGATGCGAAAAACAATTGTAATCAATAAACTAAATAAACAATAACATTGGAGAGCAAGGGTTGCCTAGCGGTGAGAGCGGTCGGGCGCCATACGGGAATTGAGTTTCTTTCGTTCTCTTCCTTGCTTCGAGGAATTCTTCAGGTCTTTTCGAGTCTTCCTCCCTCAGCAAAAACGAACCATTCCTATCTGCTGTGCTCCGCGTTCAGTTGGTTGCTACGTAAAGGAAGCGCGTAGCCGGCAGCACGCCTATGTGCTGCCATGAAGTATGATTAGCACCTAACACCTTTTAACAACAACAACAACAACAACAACAACAACAACAACAATAACAACAACAACAATAATTAGAACTAAAATGAAAAGAGCAGGATAAACAAAATAGATGAACAATATGAAATCAACAGACTAATTTCCTTTTTTCATTATTTATTTTGTTATTTCAGGTTGACCACGAGAACGACAATAAACCCGAGATCATCCTCGCTGTGAAGTACGTCAGTGGAGACAAAGTCAAGAGAAAGCCTGGTAACAAGAAGTCTTTGCCATCTCGGGGAGAAATGCAACTTCAGATCTTAGAGGCTAAAAACCTTCCTGGTAAAGACGCTGATGGCATGTCAGATCCATTTTGCAAAATGTAAGGCACTTACTGCAAAGAACTTGCTCGACTACAAATTTTGTTTTACAGGACTTTTCTTGCATGCAATTTTAATGTAACGCATAGCGTTATATGCAAAGTAAAACGTCTGCCCATCTTTYGATTGGCATTATGCATCAGCTTTCCTTGTAAAATTCATTCGCATTGCAAGCCAGTCTTACACCTCGTTGCACCATCTTGAAAGAATGTGTCAGAGCTTTCGAAGAAAAACTGTGATCGACAGAACTGTAGATTAATTCATGTACTGAAGAAGGAACACATACAGCTATTTACGACCACTGCTTAACTGCCTGTTTCGCTTTCTTGCGAAGGCTCGGCTACTTTTCTTGCGCATAGAACTATGCATGGTGCAGTGGTGCAGTGGTGCATTGTGCAGTGCAAGTAGACAAGGTGCGGAAAATTATTTTCTATGCTTAGTGCAACAGCGCCAAAAAGTCGAGTTGTGTACTGCAAGAAAAAAGCCGATATATGCTAATCATTCTTCAATTCTTTTTCTTCTTTTTCGATCTTATTTAGCTTCTTGTTTTGCTTAATTTTGCTTTCCTCCCTTTTTTTCTCTGTCTTTGGAAAAGAGGTTTACTGCTATTGTACTAGTTAGTCTTTCGACATCAAMAAACAACAAAGCATTCTTTATATCTTTAGACTTCTTCATCCGGACAAAAAAGGAAAGACGAAACACCAAACCAAGAAAATCGACCGAACCTTAAATCCAGTTTGGAACTACAAACTATCATTCGAAGACCTTTCAATAGAAGATCTGTATGATAGAGTACTAGACATAACGGTATGGGACCACGATATGATGTCACGTGACGAGTTCCTTGGCGGCGTGAGACTGGGTACTGGCGAAAGAAGGAACGAATGGGATGATTCAAATGACGCTGAAGCCCAAATATGGCATACGATGTTGAACAGAACAAATGTATGGATTCAAGTAGTGGTTCCTCTAAGACCAAATATGGAAATTAGAAAAGCTACTTAGGAAGATAGTAGAGTCACGCAATTTCTATTCTATGAAGGCATATCAAACACTTTAAAATGATAGAAACTAGCGGTAAACACTAGATCCWTTCAGATCGATTGTTTCATTCAATTTTAAAGCGGTTTATTCCGTAAAAGTTTCCGTAAACACAGTTGTGTATAAAAGGCATTTTAGCAATTTAAATTATGATAACTATTTTCAAATCAACAACGAGAGAGAATTACCCTAAAAATTACGCAGTGTTATACAAGCTATTAGGCAGCCTTATAGGTTTGTCTGCAATGCAATAGAAGCATGTTTCCATAACACAATGCGGAAGATCCTTACTTAATACAATTATACAATGATAATCTTCGGGAGTTATTTACACATAGGCACACTTATGAGCAGGTTAGACACCAAAGGAGATTTCAAATTTTCAAAAAAAAAATTAAAAAAAATCGCTTAGAATATTTTAGATATCATCACATTTCATCACTAAATGGCAATAGAATACATATAGAAAATGATTATATAAGTACATTTTACCAAAACCGATTCACCAACAAATTATAAAATATAGATTCACCACATTTGGATTTTTAAAGTGTCTCTCTGCATGAGACAGTAAACCAAAAGAATATTTCAAATCTATGTATATTTATATGTTTATGTTGTATTTTGCTGTTACAATTAAGGCCATGCGGACACGACCACAGGCAAGGAAACATTGTTGACGAAATTGTTAATGACTATTTAAAAGGGCAAGTTTTAGTTAATATCTAAGCTTGACGGGCAAGTCCTTTGTCAAGAAAGAAGGACTTATACTAGGTTAAGCTAAATGATATGTGGGACATAGATTCAATTTGATATCTTAAACAATAAATATTGATATATATTACACATAATATAATACATATATAATAAATCATTGATGAATAAATGACTTGTTATATACTTGAGAATCTACGCTTGTGCTGTTTGGTTGAAAGCGTTGTATTTTTTGAATGTAGCACGTTAGAGACAACATATTACAAGTTCGATTGAATATAATTAGTCTACCTATGAAGTAAACAATCGCATAAGCATCAAACAATGACAAACAGCAAATGAGCGCCTCCTATCTAATGAACGCCCCCCTGTCCCTATGCTTACAAGTTTGTATTAAACGCCCCTCTCTAACAAACGCCCCCTGTCTATTAAACGCCCCCTATAAATAATTTGCACTCGCTCTGATTCGAGGCTAAGAATGTTTTCACAGATGGCTTAAACTTTATGTATTATGGGAATACGGGCTTAGTTTAAAATCAGAGAGATCTCGTACCCCTAGCCTTCGTTTTTCTTGGCCAGCGCCGTCAACAAACATAAGACTCTAGAATAACGAAGTTTCCACGCCTTATTTCAGCCGGTCTCCACTCTGCATGACTCGTTATCCAAATGGCTTTTTACTTCAATTCAATTTCCTCAGACGTAATGTGTTTAACTGAAAGAAAATCAAAACAGGGACATACAGGCTTTAAGTAATTTGTCTGATCATAAAACATTTTTGAATGTTTTCCAATCGCGACGGTTATAGAGTTGGCGACAGTTCGCCGCCGCTAAATATAGCTGCATAAAGTTAATTTAATGTATTTGTTAAGATTTTGCGATCGGTCTGAGCTTTCCAGCAGTATTCTAGATCTTTCTACTCAGATCGCGCGCCGGTCAATAAGACCTAGTTTGATAACATATTTATAGGTAAATCTTATCTGAATTTCTGAGTTCTTCCTGAACCTCCTTTTTTAATAAAGCTTACTTTGAAGATATCAAGATTTTAAGAGCAGGCAACGTTAATTCAATTAGGTCGTGCACATTTGCATAACAAATCACTTGTAATTTCATTAGTCTCTGGCGGATGTTTTTCACAAAGTACAAAAACCTTTGTATTCTAAGAAATGTTTTCACTTTGAAACTTCACCCAGAAGGGTACTAACACGATGCGCATCAATTCTACTCTTAACTTTACGAATTCTGGATCGAAGTACACTTATTTCGATAGAATACCTTGGAATGCGGTGTTTTTTATTCAATTCTTGGTTGCTATGGTGGGAAACTTCCTTATAGTGTGGATAGTCTATAGGGACAATCGGTTAAAAACTACAACCAATTACTTAATAGCAAACATGGCGGCAAGTGATCTTATCGCTGGCTTATTCATCTTTCCTGNAATTTCCTACGCATTAACTATCTACAAACTTTATCGCTACAAATTACCCGAATTGTCAATACCCGCTCAAAGGAGAAGACAACAGAAAAACAAAAAGGTATTAAAACATGGTGTGGCCATTGTGGTTTTGCTTTATCTTTGCCACGGTTTTTGGATGACTTTTATAATGTTACTTTCAGAAGGAAAACTAAGCCATCTCTCACCAAAATCGTTTCACAGCTTGAGTGAGGTATCATCTTTCATTTTAAACCTCAGTCTTGTGTATAACTTCTTCATCTACCTCGTCTTCAATGATATTTACCGTGAGAATGTCAAAGCTTTCTTGCCCAAGTGTTGCTGTAGATCTGATGCTATTGTGAGGGAGGGAATACCAGGTGGCAGGGCAATGACGAAGCGAAACAACAAAACTTGTGAAGATTAATTAAGAAGGTATTAAGTAGTTCCGAAATTAATCCTATTTGCATAGAGCTTTTTTTCATTCTAGAAAAAAAGAAGAAACAACATAGCAACAAAGCACATTGCTAGAACATATCAAACAATTGTCTAACATTCGCGCGGGCTACCTGTGGTTTTTGTGGGATTCCTTATTTTCAGGGATGGGATGGGACTAGGACAAAATTATAATGGCAGACATGTTGAAAAGTAATTTCTCTGCAAATTCTGTAAGTTTTAGCCGTTTTAAGGCACTAAAAGGTGGAAAAAACTTAAAAAAAAACTTTCTAACGTACTTCCTTATAAGGTAAGATTGCTATATATTTTTTCAGCAAAAGTTTGGCAAACGAATAAAGTTTTCTCCGAACCAATTGTTTGATATGAGGTTGTAAATTTGAGAACAATAAGCTAAAAGAGAACACAAAATCACGGTAAATAGGCTGATGCTTTATCAAAACCGAGGCAATCTTCTCTTGAAAATTGACTGTTCCAGTTATGAAACGRATCATTAATCTGTTAACCAGTCAATCTCTTATTTATCATTCAAAAAATACAAAAATAAACAAACAAACAAAAACATTTAATAGAAGTTTAACATCATCTTTTTTCAGCATATTTGAATATACAGCATGTAGAAATTCAAAGATTGTCATCGGTGAGATCGGAGACGGGACCAAACTAGTACTAACATATCATACACTATGTCATACAAATTTCTTTATCAAAATTACATTCCATTGCCATTGCTAATTCTTTGTTTGCAGGTTACGTCACAACGGCCTTCTTGAAGGAACTTTAACAAAGGATTTCTCATTGGTATCTATTGTGTTCATTCCTCCAACATGCCCGCCGGTCTTTTATCTTTTGAATCTCATAGGAATGGATAAAACAATCAATTAAAGAAAACACAGCTAACTTTTGGGCCTGACTAGCCTAGATAAACAGAACCTTGCTGCACACATTTCCTTGTATACTAACTACCAATGAGCCTTTCTTCATACCCAAGACTGCTTTGACTAGTAACATATCCCTTCCTACCGGGTAGTACGCATTCCTGTGTTTACCCAGCCCTTTCCAACAAACCCGCTGCTGCGTTTGGTTTGTACAGTATTCAGCACATGCTTTTTCTAAGGCATACACTACTACTCTTTTAGCTATGACTTACAATGGTATTTAACGTGTGGAGAAGTCGCATCTGAATGCTATCACTTGACCGTTAAATCTTTGAGAACCCAGTAGCGAATTCGCGTTTCTTGCTAGGCTAAGGGCTGATCTACCTTTGACGATAATATAGTCCCCTATAAATTTCTCAATTAAAGGCTAGAAAACAGCGGATGTCCAAAACGGTGTCACTTTATAGGGTCGCTTTCGCGCCCTAAACGTAGAGGTAATGCAGCGCCCTTGCGATAATAGAAACTGGGGTAAATACCAGGCAGTTTTCGTTTTCTAGCTTCTGGACGAAAAAATCTACATCTTCCGCGCCTGGATTCCAGAGTCTGGAGAAAAATCTAGGAAGTTTAGCATTATAGTAGTTGGCAAGACAGTCTACTGTGTGGGGACCCCATAGTTGCCAGGTTTTGAAAAAAAATCTTCCGAGATCTGCCAATAGCTAGAGCTAGAGCATGTAAGTCTGGTTTCATACTCCCTACTTCTACAATTTTGGCTGCCGCCTGATTGTCCGTATACCATTTCACGTGCGAGTATTCGAGTAGTTTACTAAATGATTCTAGCGAGAAACTTATGGCCGCCATATATTTATCCTATTCTACATGCCGCAGCAAAATACATAAGCCCACGAGGAGTACCATACCACGTTGTTACAATGTTCTTAAACAGACAACGAGGATCTCGACGAAAGCGAGAAATACTTCAGGAGCGAAGAAAGAGTGCTTCAAGGAAAGGGTTCAGGCGTGGATCGCTTCAATTCAGGCCATAACCAAAGTGGTATCCGAAGACTCAGTGAGTCAAGTAGCCTCCAATCCATCCAAGTTAAAAAACTCGTCAAGGAGTTCAAACATATCTCGATACACTTCCAGCAGATTATCAAGAACGTCTTCGCGGTCATCGAGCTCTCTATCTGCATCACGTGTCAAAGAACTCACACGGCCGGATAGCCGAACTACGCGCCGAATCCAAATAAATGAATTCCAAATAAGACAACGTAGAGGACAACATGAAATTGAGACACAGCTAGCCAAAGTAAAGTCCAAAGAGCAAGCCCTTGCTTCATTGCATGACATGGACTTACACAAGTATAACAAACAAAGTAAGTCCAATCAATCTGTACCTTTTATTCGACACAACTCACAGGTCGCAAGACAGTCACGTTACGAAATTAAGTCAAGCTGGAGAAACGTCGCATGACAGTCGCGTTACGCAAGCCAGTTAAGCTAGAGAAACGTCTCAAGACAGTTCCATTACGCAAGCCAGTCAAGCTAGAAAAACCTCGCAAGACAATCCAGTTCCGTAATCCAGTCAAAGAGAAACGTAGCAAGACAGTCGCTTTTCAAAAGTCAGTCGAGGCAGAAAAACCTCGCAAGACAGTTCCGCCACACAAGCTAATCAAGGAAGAGAGCCTTCGCAAGACAATCGTACGACGGGAGTCAGTCAACGTCAAAAAGCGTCATGCAGTACATCCGCGTTACCACGTATTCCAACTGCCAACATCAAGTAACACTGCAGGGCTAAAACGAAAAATATCACATCGAACGACATCAAGGGACGCAGTACGATCAGTTCTTCATGCACACTAAACAGCATCCAGGAAAATGGAAAGACCAACGTATACCAGTTATCATACATCATCAAGGATCGTGGTAAGACCAACGCACCGCGTGTGTCMCCAGCCAACATCCAAGAAKGTCGGAAGACCATTGATATCAGAGTCAACGAGCATCACAAGACCAATCGGAAGTCGAATAAACAAGACCAATACACTGTGCGTACCACCCATCAAAAGCAAGGAACGTAGACCAGTACGTAAGGTATACTATACAGCATCGAGGATCGTGGTAACACCAATCCTGCGTGCATAAAAACCTAAGAACAGGAACGTCGACCTAAATATAAAAAGTAGGTAACATCTAATGGCGGAGCTCGAATAGCAATATAGAAGAGAATGATTATCTAGTACTACAATTTCATGGACAGCCTCAGTAGACGCACACTGTTTCATGGAGTGCAAAAACAGTATTTCTTATTGACATGCGAAAAATATCATAAACTGCATAAACTTTTTTATCAGTTATATTTAGCTTGAAAATGTTATGGTCTTCGTTTGAAAATGTCCTCATTTTCTCGAAAAAAGAGCTCAGCCAGATGGTTGCTTTTCGCCATATTTTTGCAGCATTTATATTACATCATTATCATTTTCTTGTTGTAGAAAAATCATCCTTTTTTCTTATTTCAAAAAGTGAGCCTCATAACGCTTGAAAAGATATTACTTTTTATCTTGCACAAATCGATTTTCCGAATGTGCAAACGCGTCATAGTAGTTCTGACAAGAATGGCACGGAACCTCTTTGATTTGTTTTTGCTTTCTCCAATGGAAGTTTTTTTTTACTTGAGATTTGTTTTTTTAATATGATAATTTTCGAAGTTAAATCTTTGAGAAAAAAAAAAAAGAAATTTCAACAAATATTTTGGCGTTTTTTTTTTCTTTTTACTCGGAGTATGGGTTTCCTGTGGTAGTACTAAGACGTACGGAACGACAGAACAAGGACAGAAGGATGGAAGCCTGCATAGGTACGAGGACCCTGTGTCGGCCCATGGAAAATGGACTCGATGAATATACCATTTTCATATCTCTGGCGGATGTTTTTCGTTTTTGAAAAAAGTACAAACAGCATTGTATTCTGAGAAATGCTTTTCGTTTTAAAACTTCACCAAGAACAAGAGGAGCCGACGTGGTCTGTTCTTCTAAATAGCTGTTCTTGTCCGAAATTTTTAGTATCAAAAGAGATTTTGAGCTACATTGTTGACAATCTTACAAGCAAATGTGGCGCTCTTTCTTTAGCTTTTTGAAAATAATTTTGTTCTTGACAAACGTTTTTAAGGTCAGTAAAGGCGCTTATAACGTTTTTATSGTCAAAGACATTTTTTTAGTTAGGAAATTTTTATTTTTCCTTGCAAAAATTCTTAGAAAGTATTCCTTGTCTGGAGAATTCTTTTTTTCTTAAATGCTCGCTGGCAGCTGTGAATTACAGCTGGCTGGGACATAAGAATATATAAAATATATTTCTCTCAGGATCCTGTCGGCTTCTCCTAACAGAAGAGTATCACTGAACAAGATGCGTGTCAATTCTACTCTTAACTTCACACATTCTGGATCGAAGTACACTTATTTCGATAGAATACCTTGGAATGCGGTGTTTTCTATTCAATTCTTGGTTGCTATGGTGGGAAACTTCCTTATAGTGTGGATAGTCTATAGGGACAATCGGTTAAAAACTACAACCAATTACTTAATAGCAAACATGGCGGCAAGTGATCTTATCGCTGGCTTATTCATCTTTCCTGCTCAGATAGTATTCATAAACTTTGACTACCAATGGCTGATTGGCGGGGACGTTGGAAATGCTCTATGTAAGCTAAATATCTTTACAATAGAGATGTCTTTCAATGTTTCTGTATATACTTGTGTGGCAATTGCCATTGATCGCTATTTCGCTGTGGCTCATCCATTCAGGAGGATTTTTGATGACAGAATAAAACACGTCATTGCATCTATTTGGATTATCACAGCCTTAATCCGCTCACCACACTTGTACTTTACTGCTACTCTTCAAGTTAGCGACATTTGGTATTGCACAATACCCTACAAGGACCGGCCATATTTTAAAGTTTACAAATATATCGTTTTGTTTTTGTCCAGTCTTCTGTCAGCGATGTTCATCACAATTACCTACGCATTAACTATCTGCAAACTTTATAACCACAAAGTGCCCGAATTGTCAATACCAGCTCAAAGAAGAAGACAACAAAAAAACAAAAAGGTATTAAAACATGGTGTGGCCATTGTGGTTTTGCTTTATCTTTGCCACGGTTTTTGGATGACTTTYATAATGTTACTTTCAGAAGGAAAACTAAACCATCTCTCACCAAAATCGTCTCACAGCTTGAGTGAGGCTTCATCTTTCATTTTGTACCTCAGTCTTGTGTGTAATTTCTTCATCTATGTAATCTTCAATGATATTTACCGTGTGAACATCAAAGCTCTGTTACAGAAGTGTTGCTGTCGCTCTCAGGCTAACAGAAAGCAGGAAATACCAGTTGAAGAGAAAATGACTCTTGACAAGTTGACGGACTAATTCATAAACATTTTACTTATGAATCATAAGCTAGAATAAGTATAATCAGAAATAATGGTCAGTTGATGTACGACAATACTGCAAGAACGTTTTCGTGTATCAGGGATTGATTTAGATAAATATGCATTACAAAAAGTTTTGTACCACAAGAATAAGTTACATACTTCCCTTTCCGTTTTTCTTCATAATTGGTACTCGGCCAGTCCTTAATATTTCATATGATTTGGATTTTTTTTCTTTTATGAACATGATTACTGAATATACATTACATTTTGGGGGCTATACGAGGTGGTGCATTTCTTAGTTAGTGTTGATTGAGATCGCGAAATCCACATGAATACTGAGTCCAAGTATTATGGTAAAGATTAGCGAAGTTTGTTTTGATATTTCAATTATTATCATTTTTTCTTCTTCCCATATGCTTTAAATCGCAAGGGTAGGCTGTCAATTGGATAAAAACACCATTAGAGTTTCGGGGAATTAGACAAAGTGTATTTACTAGACAATATGCGATAATTAAGCTTAATATACAGCCGAAACATTAGGAAGTAAGACTGTAAGCAATAAAATCGTTAAAACATCGAAAAAAAAAATGTTAGATTAAAATGACGATACCAACAGTTTTCAGATGACCGATGTATTCGTATAAGAGACTTTTCTCGAGTCATTACATTCCTTATATACTGTTATAGTTTATATAAGCTTTAAATAAATGTAAAAAATAATATAAATTTTTTTTAGTTTTGCCGTTTCTGATTTATGCCATTTTTTACTCAAGATCAAAAAACAGATAAAAAAATCGTAGACTTTTGGTCGAGTACTTCCAAGCTCTAGCGCATTTGAAATGGCGTACTATTTGCTAAATATACAGTGTCGTACATGTACATCATCAGACATCTGCGGCGTATATTAGTTGTCATATATATATTTCAATTTTCTTTATTTCTGACGCATTTTGTCTCGCTGTATAATCATATTATACCGATGAAACGCCCCGAATAGCATAACAATAGTATTGGGGACAAGTGTGGCGCAAAATTGGTCAGTTGCGACACTGGCTGAGAAACGCACTGAGCATGTCCACAGCTTTCCAGCTGAAATCTGCCTAATTTCCTTTGTAAAGCAATTTTTGTGAAAGTTTTTTACAATTTATAAGCTCGTTCACCGATTTAAGATTCATATTTCCATCAATCATTGTTCATGATAGGTCCTTTTAGCATGTAGTTTCTATTTTTACCTTGTCATTTCTATTTTGAGAAGTTTTTCGTAGTGTTTTCTGTGTTGTCGCTGTAAATCGACAGGCGCTCTATTTACAGATTTCAAGACGCGAGCGTTCACTGGCGGGAAAGCTGTGGACATGCGCAGTGCGTGTTTCACCAGTGTCGTCAGTTGCTATAACGGATTTTAAATTCATACGGTTTGTAAGATTCTTTTAAAAGGACATTTATTAAAAGTTTGAAAGCTGTTTTATTTAAACCAGCCTCCACCACCGTATAGTGAAATGATTTTTACTTATCAAATATGCCAAGCGTGTCAAACGATGTCGGAGATAATTCATGCAAAATGTCATTAGCAATAAAAATATTTCGTTATTTAAATATTTCACTGGAAAAAATCGCGCGCTTTAAAGGTTGTAAATTTGATGTAAATATAATGATGTAAGTGTCCAAAATTCTGTAAATTTAATGGAAATCATTAATCAAATTTACAGAATTTTGGACACTTACATTATATTTACATCAAATTTACAACCTTTAAAGCGCGCGATTTTTTTCCAGTGTTTCCTTCATCGTTTTGTCGAACTATTATGGTAATATTTAAGCAACTAGACGCTTGTAAAGCGTGATGCGGGCTAGCTTAGCAAAAGATTTTCAATACAAGATAAAATTGTATCTCCAATGAATATTGTGACTATGACATAACTATATATGAAAGTAAAATATGCCGTAGAATACCTTAGTTTTCTTTGCAGTTCAATTCTTATCGTGCATGCACCGCAATATTCTTTTCTGGAAACTAATCGTTAACCTTCACTGTCTGCTATAATCTTATCATATATCAACTATCAACCATAATCTTTTTGCTATAGTGATTGTCCTACATTTGCAATGTATTTTGTAATAATATCTATGCAAGCTCTTTACTTCTTGGTTAGCGATATCACATTATTATTTACATAGCAATGCATTTTAGATGACATGGGTGCATTCTTTAAATTTTGTTTTTATTAGCCTTTCTTTCGTACAAACGAAATCTAAAAATTGAAGCAAAACAAAGTTCAATTTCAAAACTTGTACTTTGTCATTTTTAACTAATAAAAAAACCCGATGATATTAAAGCAATTTCTTTGAATTTGAACAATAAAAACATTGTCATTTAAACAGAAAAATACCTTTTGCTGTCTATAAATGTGGAAAAAAAGCCAGTATTTGAGCTGATTTCATGTTGAAGCTGTACTGAATAATCATCGAGCTGGACTAGTGAGGAATGCGAGACTATTTTCGATGCAAAATCGTCTTAAAATGATAACTAGCAAGCTTGAAACTTCACAAATGCAATATCCTAGATCAATTCTTCAATGAGAAAGCTTTTGGTATTTCTCGTTGATAGTTTTTGAGTACTTTTTTCTCTGTTATCGGCGAAGTACCCGCCATTTTGGATTCTTGAGAAAATTTTCAGTTCGAGAGAGACTGCAAACTAATAGATATGGCTTCCTGTGGTTGGAGAGAGACTGGAAACTGCGACCCGACAACAGCAGGGACATTTGCTGACGCTGACCGCACGTATATCGCGGGCAACGCATGAAAGTTGACGTTTTTCATAAAAAGGCGGGAATGAAAGACTTTTGAAAATACCTCACTTTTTGTTCAAGATCAAAAGAAATTTGAGAAAATTCTATCAAGAATAGCGAAAGAATGGGGTCTTTTGTTTACAACGTGCTTGTTTTTAAGCGAAAATAATGTCTTATTTGGAAATGAGAGGCGATCTTCCACACAGGACACGAACGGCTGAACATTTTATGAAACCACACCATATCATGAAAAGTCAAATTTCTCAACAGTGAGATCAAAAAAGCCATCCATANATCATGAAGTATCCACTTCAATATAAATTTTTGGTTCTTTCAATTTTGAATAACACACCAGGACTTTTGTCGTAGGTCGTGCCCAGAACAAATAAACAACTGGACGAAGCCTTGTTTATAGAACTTTCAGATTTTATTTAAATCAAGTCAATGAAAATTGCGTGGCATACATTTCTAGCTCACTGTTTTAAGGGCATGTGCAAAAATGTTGATGTTGACACCTCGCACGTTTTTGGTCATAATGTCGGAAATAAACATCTCCAAAAGCCAGAACTTTCAATGTATTTTCTCCATCTCTCGAGCAAAATAAAAACAATTAGAAAGTGTAAGACTTTCGACCAAGAACTCTGAATAAGCTTCAATCGAAAGGTTTTTCTCTTTTTTCTAGAGTTCAATATGTCGGGCCCACTGGTTTAAAACTATTTTATGAAAAACCGGGGACGTGCCCAGAGCGAAAACCTACCTAAATTAAAATCTTATGTAATTCTAAAAAGAATAGAATTGTAATTTCGCCTTTGAAAATTGCGTGGATATCTCAAATCAACGTGCAAAGACGTGCGAATTTTAGTAAAAATTTCCACCTTYGAGTAGAATAAATTAATCACTGATCGTATTTATGCCAAAACAAGTTCTTAAACTTACCCTAAATTGGACTATTTTTGCACAGTTTCATCTACATACAAAACGTCTTCTTTCATTATTCATGGGAAGAGTAAAACATACGCAAATGAATACAAAAGAGAGGACACCGGCTCCTTCGCCATGTTTACTTACATCTTCAAAACGTTTCCCGCCAGACACAGGTATACCGCGCGACATGTATTCTATTTGACTCACGCATGCGCAGACAAATGTCCCTGCTGTTCGACCCGACAGAGTGGAAAAGGTAAAACTATAGCTGGCTAGCACAGCTAGCCCGCTAATTATCTCCTCGTGGAGGCTTGATGAGTTATCAGCTGGTAGACTACTCGTCCTCGAGGTCTAATTGCTAAATAGACTAGTTAAAATGACAATTTATTTCAATGCAAAGAGCTCCTTTTCATTCTAGAAAAAGGTGAGAAAGAAAAAGAAAAGCTATAAAGCACGTTGCTACAAAGTTATAAACTTAAGACTAATAAGCTAAAATAGAACAAAAAATCATTGTAATATCCTGGTGCTTTATTTCAACATATCAATAGCTTTATAAGTGAGTACTGCGAAAATCGAGAAAAATCTTTTATCTTTAAAAACTTCTCCTGCTCTGAAACGAATCGTTATCGATCTGTTCACCAGGTCATTGGTTTATCTACATAAGAAAAAAAAAGATAAAAAAACAACATTTAGTAAAATTTTGACAGCTTCTTTTTTCAGTTTATCTGAACATACATGTAGATTTCATCAAATAATGTTATCGGGGAGCAAGGATGACCGAGCGGTTAAAACGCCGGTCTATCACCGCTGTGGTCCTGTTCGATTCCCGGTCCGGGACTATATGTGATTTGAGTTTGTAAGCTGGTTCTCTCCCTTGCTCCGAGGGTCTTTCTCCAGGTCCGCTGGTTTTCCTCCCTCAGTCAAAAACTAGCTGTGAGGAGTGTCGTGTAGTAAAATAATGAATGTTGAGGTAGTGTGAGTATGAGTGAATATATAGAGGGCCACAAGTTTTATTAGTCTAGAGACTATTACGTGCTACCCTCTCAAAATAAAAGACTTTATTTATTATTTATTTATTTGGTTGAGATCGGAGACAGTGGCATAGCTGTGATAGGCTAGTGGCTTATTTTAAAATAAAATAGGAATTAAAATAGGAAGTACCACTCCGATGTTTTGTATGAAAAAAGGTTTCGGTAAGATGCAACAACTCAGATGCAAACATTTTGCCGTCCACCCGTACACTTTTCCGGACACTGACAACATGAATCGAAAACAAAAAACAAAGCTGAGTGCAAGATATCGTGTGGAAGGTAACAGATCTCAACCCTGATCTTTTTCTACACTATTTTTTGCAGAATTGTATATATGGTACAGTGTGCCGTCTGTGAGTGTCTTCCTCCCTCCCAATGTTGTTTGTCAATGATTGTTTATTGGTACGAGATCGAAAAGGATGAGCAAGAAACGTGTGCTACCTTGCAGTGGGCAGAGGTTGTAGGGTGTTGTAGATATTGATTATACTCAGTTCATATCCAAATTACTTTACCGAAGAATTGCATAGGCAGATCTACAGCGACAGCATTCTTAGATCTGTTATAGTTAGTAAAGTTCAACTCTCTCCCTATTCTTATTATGCATTTGTTGTCATGCGCCTATTCTAAATATAGGTGGGAAAACCATATATATTCAAAGCGATATCATATAAAACAAATCATTTGCTCTAATTAGATGAGTCCAAACAGAAACATTATTCGTATAAAAAGATTGTAATGTATGAATGAATGAGTCGATTAGAGTACGAGTTGCTTGTCTATGAGGTCGTGCTCGGCCATTTTTGCTTCATTCGATGCTTCCATGGTAAATAATGAATAGAACATAGTTCCGTAGCCAATCATAACGCTGGATTTGTGATAGCCAATAGTTTGAGGGGCTGCGCTAGTGCGTCCAATTGAGTTTTGAACATCATTTTATGATTTCGAGTGTGTTAATAAGAGGACATACAACTCAAAACCTTGCGTAGTCCAGTCCCAGCCCCTTTTCGGTCCGCTCGGTTAACGGGCCTCTCACGGGGAAAAGGCTCCAGAAGAACTTGCATGCGCATGCGCCGGCATGAACTAATTAAACAACGAGTTGGGGAAAACTTATTATTATTTAACTTAAAGGCAACTGCAAATGAGAAAAAATATTTCCTTTTTTTAAGGGCTTGATAATCTTTCACATGAAAATAATATTTACATGATTGTAGAAGATGAGCAAACTTGATCGAACACAACAATTAATTTACAATCAATTTACAAACAACATTTAACTGAAATAATTAGGATTGTTCGAAGCAGTGAGCTTCGTCGAAAGCAACACATACGATGTTATCTTGAAGTTTTCATGTTGTCTTTGACCTCTYTGGAGTTGAAACTCTCGGGGATCAACATTAACACATTGTAGTCGGTGAAATCGCCGTCTCTCACTTCGACTATAAATTTGGCTGCATTTATCAGAGAAATAAAAGGAGAAATAGCCAATACTATAGATGAACGGCAACCACGAAAGATGTCACATATCAACGGAAACAAACTGTATAAAAAGGATTTGCCAAATCCAGTACTCAAACGGACGAACTCATCTCTACTTTTCGACAGATGAAACCAAGCTTCCATTTGTTCTGACTTTGGTTTGAAGTCTTCACGCTCTTAACTCGAGAGCATATCTTACTGCTGACATGAAATCAGAAACGAATTTTGACGCGTATTCGTTYATATAAATTATCATTTTCTGTCTCTTCTCTTTACGAGGAAAAAACCTTTGGCCGCCATGACACCGTATATATGCGGTGTATGGCGGCGCATGCGCATGCAAGTTCTTCTGGACCCTTTTCCCCGCGAGAGGACCGTTAACCGAGCGGGTCGAAAAGGGGCTGGGACTGGACTAAACCTTGCGCAGTTTACTAAATGTATCATTTGAAACCTCTTACTGACGAACATACATACGTCTTATCTTGTTACCTTTTCAGCATAGTTGACAGGACTTTCGACAATACTGAAGCACAAGGGGAAATTCCTCAGTGCAAAGACCAATTTCAGCGTAATGACTGCAAATAGGATATTGATCTAGGCAAGTAGGACCTGAAAAATGATTAAGTGACTGCTGAAGATTTTCTAGTCAAAGGTGAAAGTAATCAAATATCAGGGTCTGAATGGGGTTAACCGACTAGCGACAAATGGACATAATAACTACTGACTAGCGACAAATTTAAACAAAATTTACTGACTACCGACATTAACAAATTTACTGACTGGCGACATTTTCCAATATTCAAAGATCTCCGTGAATACAAGCTTTTTTTATTTTTCAAGGAACTACATTCGAAATTTTCCGCGGAAAAAATAAATTTTGCTTCGGATTGGCTTCTTGAAGGGTTAAGTTGTGATGAGCCACCCACTCTAAAACTTTGAGGTGCATCCAATTGACCAAT